GAAATAAAGTAAACGACTGGCCCGCCGATCGAACCCGGTCGATGGAAAACTAGAAGTACGAGAACGTTTCCCTTCTACTTGACATTGAGACCGTTCGAGGATTCTGGGATTAATACATGTGTACCTTCTTCGTTCGCGATCTCTGGAGATACAGGTGTCGGAATGATCGGACAATCTTTTGCTCAAAGCTTCTTTGCGATCATGGTGACGTTGCTCTGATGTTAGGTTTCAGGGTGTAGTGAAATGAGTTGGTAAATTCGGTGAGATCGGGCCATTGGGAATATTTTTGTAGTTGATTTGAAAGCTATCGACGTCTTCAAAATCAACGATAATACGAATTTGATGCTTTTACGAGAGAAATGAGTAAGACAAGCGCAATATAGCAAAAACATTTGAATAATTCAACAATATAATTTTATCAGTTGATTATATAAAACGATTAACGCTAGATTTACGGAACAGCAAAAGCAGCTATTTTGTATTAGTTTATAATAACAACAGTAAGTTATTCCGATTTTCAGCGAATAACGCAAGTAACGAATATATTGAATAAATTTAGTTTTAATTTATTTAGAATAAAACTAGCTTTACAATCTAAATGAACGTAAATTAAAAGATTAGTGAACCGTCATTTTGACAGGTTCCACAAACCCAGTGTTAAGAGAAGAAATGAATGCATGTCCAGTTTCAGTATCTTGCAATTAATGAAGACAATTTTCATTTTGCACAAAGATCCGCAGTCTAGTCATAACTAATCCGAAACGTTCGCCATTCGCATATTAATCAAGAGGACAGCGGAACGTTCGCGCTAACCGATCCAGCCGATAGGAGACCACACGACCGTTGCATCCAGGAAAAATTTAGTCGCGGGACTCGGAGGGCGTGCAATATGTATCCCCGGAAAATGGAGGACGAATATCACCGCTGTACGAAGCACAGTTAAAACACAATTACCCGCGCACCCCCGTGCACCAACCCCAGGACAGACCGCGGCCGTACCGCGCTGTCAAAATAGATAACGTTCGGGGTAAGTCACCCCGAAGTTAAAACCCGTCCCGACCCTGCGCCGGCGAAAAGGAGAAAGAGAGAGAGAGAGAGAGAGAGAGACAGCACCGACGCTATAGGACCATTCACTTTGGGTTAACATCGACAAAGGGTGTGCAAGAGCGCGGGGTGTAACGAGGGGGGCCGGCAGCGCGGGGGTGTCGCGGGGACCGCGGGGTGGCTACGGGACCATGATACGCCCCGCGTGCGCGTCTTGCCGCTCGTGGACGGAGTCAGGGGTTGATATTGCCTCTGTTGGGGGTGGCGGTGACGTCACGGCTGATTAACATAAACGATTCGAACGGGCATCCGTTGCCCGGATCAACGGCGTCGCTTCCAGCCCCGACCGCCCCTCGCGGGGCGCTTCTTCGCGCCACGCAACCTTTTAATCGTCCACCTTGCTGCAAACAAAAAATACTCTTTCTCTCCGTACGCTGCGTTAACCGGCGACACGCTGCTGGAGAGCGTCTTCTATTCGACGGCGAGCATGATAGGACAATTCTGATAAAATTTACTGTGGAACGCTAAGGAGAGAAAGTGTTGTAACTATTTTATGCCGTGGCACATAAAAGTTTTGGACCCTTTTCCAAGAGCTTTTGTTGCTATACACCGACAATATGCACACAGAGCCCTTTTTCCAGGGTCTTCACAAGCTCCGAGAACACGCCAAAGGAACCCCAAGAACGGACGAAGGCAGCCGTTAAGGTGCATTCATTCGTGCTCGAGTCATCTTTCTTAATATTCTGTTGAAGTTGTTTTTTGATGAAGTTATAATTGTCTAAAGATTTCTATAAGTCACGCTAGGACACGCGAATCACCATAGTAACAGTTGTTTCTCGAATGAAGCATATTTTCTTTATCAAGCGATATCATTCGAAGCTGTTGCTTCGTAATACCGCTTCCGTGCATAATTCTTATTCCAGAATGAAACGTCAAGAACGAAAAGTGAAACTGAAGCAATCGGACGAGGTTCCTCGATTTTTGCGAGCGTTCGTCGCACGTGCGCAATTCCGAGCGAATTTCGACAAAAGGGGTGGGTCTTTACGATCGCGGGGAGTCGTCGAGGCAACCCTTTTATTACGAGGGCCGGATGACTATAACTATTTGACGTGACGACATTAGCGGACCTTGTTGGTTCGCCGTTACCATTATTATTCTATAAATGGCCGCGGCAGACAGAGATACGGATTATGAGACACGAGTTGCATATTTATTACAGCCGTTCCCGGAGCCGTCTCACCCGTTCGATTCCGCGTTGTTTTCATTTTTCCTCTCGCTTCGTTCTTTTTTTCCCCCCGTTTTCCTTCATCCAGGCCGAAGGCAGCAGCTCGCACGTCCCTTTTACCGGGGGTTTACGAGCCTACGCTACGACTTCCTCGTGACGCTCCAATGCCGGAACGACGGCTAAACGAATTATGCAGCTACTCTCTTTACTACCTCCTCTTTCGAGCGCTGTCGGGCCGCGATTTACAAGCGCGAATACTGTCGTCCACGCGGAGCCCCGCGATCACGGATCGTTTGCGTCGTTTCGCGCGTGCACGCACGCGGTCGGCCGCCTATATCGTATATCGCGGATCGGTTCCCACGCCTCGTAAAAATCGAATGTCATCGTTAAACGAGCCGACGAGCGCCGATCGTAATAAGACCTTTATGCCCGCGGTATGGCGCGACATTCGCTCGTTCCGAATTTTATCGAAACCTAAACACCTGTAACATTCATGACACCTTCTGTACTCTCGGTTCCATTCCGTGTCCCCTCCCCCCCTTTAGTCTAGCATAAACGAATCACGGACGACCCTCGTACACCAAGTTCTATGTTCATCGTTGAATCGGTACTGCACAGAAGCGTCGAACGTTACGATACACCGAAGATTCTCTTCCGGGAATCGAAGATGGCAAAGATCACGAGGGGTCGACGACAATGGTCGAATCTCTCGCAGTAGCATCGCTCGGACATTTGTGGACCGCGTCGGGGACGAAGTTTGACCGATGTTCCGGCATTTTCGGGGCCGAGGGAGGGTCTCGGGTGTCAGGAATCCGGCTGGCGGGGCACAAAGCCCTCGGAAGCAGCTCGCGCGAGTCGGAGCTGAAGCGGGAGATGAAGCGGGAGCGGGAGCGGTGCATCGAGGAACACGCGTACCGGGACTGTCGTATCGAAGCATCGCGGGGATCCCATGCATTCCGCGATCTTGCATTACAATTGCTAATAAACGCCCTCTCCTGGCCCTCGCTCCCCGTTCTACCGGTTCCACCTCCGAGTTCGCCGCTTACACCAGGACTCGGGAGGCTACGTGCTTCTGTCTGCCGCCCTCCTCGTACCTCCTCCCGCGCCTCTCCCCGGTCCTCTCCTCTGCGGGTTCTCCTGTTGCAGACGTTCGCCGGGTAACCGCAACCACGGAATCCGGGAGAGTGTACCGTCGTCGTGAGAGGAGTACCGAGAGTGCAGGCGCCGCGGGACCGGGCGGAGAAAGGGAACGGAATCGGGGATCGTCGCGGACGGTGGATAGAGAGTCCGATGAGGACGGGAGAGAGGACGAGAGAGATAGAGAGAGAGAGAGAGAGAGAGAAAGAGCGATGGTGGAGGAGGAGGAGGAGGACAGAGGGACGCTGGCTCGTCCGGGGAAAACTTTGTCTCATTCATACTTTTGCATTTGAAAGCGGTAATTTATGCGCGCGTCGAAGTGAAACGGAATGCAACAGAGAGCGGACCTAGAATACGGAGGAAGAGCGAACGAGACCGGCTGAGAACGACGGAGCGAGGAGAACGGTGAAGGGAGAGAACGCGGAGAAAGGGGAACAAACGGCGCCATTATAATAGATATGTTAGCATGCAAACGCTGTCTTTTATACGCTTTGTCAGAACGTCGCGGTGGTGGCGATCGCTCAGGTGCGTGCCGCCCGAGCACTGGGCCCGACATGCTGGCGCTATCACCTGCGAGGTTCAACTTCAGGGTCATGGTAATCGATGGTCCGTGACTTTTGAGCAAAAGGGACGGCACTAGCTTGTAGGATATACTATGGCAGCAGCGACGATCTCGCAAGTGCGTAGGTTGCCCAAGCTACGGAACCGATATAACTGGCTGACTTGGACAAAGAAGTCGTCTTCAAGATCGTGGCAAACGAACGATGCCTTGTGTCTTTTGACCCACGCTTTCGATACTACTCTAGGGTACATGTTACGGTTATAGAGATTTATCGGATACATACTGCACTGTTACAGTGACCAAATCTGAAGACAACCCTGAGAATTGTTAAAGATGATCAAACCGCTACCATTGATATAGTAACTCCTATCTTACGCATGGACTGTATCGATGATGACCGTGGTGATCTCTTCAGGGCAAGACATACTTACACAAACCGCAAACGTTCGTCTCCAGCAGAGAATATCTTCTAGAACCATAAAAACGACTGGAAACTTCAACGTTCAGCTTCGAAGCCGTCCTCTGACTATGCTACAAGAATACCGACTCCGGAACGACGCAGCTGTGTCAGAGGACCCTGAAATCGTCCAGGTTGCATGAATTGCTCGCGAGGAAGAAGAACACGCGGAGTCGCGACGTCCGGCGGAACGAATCGTGGACAGATACGTCCCTGGGGCCCCGCGAGGTGAACACGGCCTTGCTGCGAGAGGGGTACGTGTCGGCTGGACAGGGTTGGTGGGACGAAGAGGCGATCCGGTGGTGCAGTGTCGGTAGCGGTGTCGGTTACGATGACGGGGGCGGAGAGGGGCCGAGGATCAGCTCGGCTCGGCGAGCGGCTCGACGCGGAGCGGAGCGGACGAAGCGGAGGAAGCGGTGGCAGCGGAGGAGGGGAAAGGCGCGGGTTCGGGACGTTCGAGGGAACGGCGTGCGGCAGCGGCAGCGGCGGCGGAGCGGGCGAGGGAGGGGCGGCGGTGGCAGGGGTGTAGCTACTTACCATACTCCCAGTATACCAAAGTCCCGCGGCCGACTCGCTCCGCGGCAGATAGCAGTCGCTAGCACACCACGCTTCTCGCCGCCGCTCGGGGAAACACGAGCGGAGAGTTTTCGGCCGGCTCGACCGCGGGAAAAGGGAGGAAATCCTGGCGAACGTGGCGCGGCACGCGTGCCATCTCGGGGCAGGAAACAAGAGCGCGGCGCTCTCCTGTCCGTCGCGGCCGCGGCCGCGGCGCAGCGCGTCGCGAGCGGATTCGGCGAGCGGGAGGGTCGCGAGAGGACGCGATGCGACGAGCGAGAGGAGACCGCGAGTGCCGGACCACGACCGCTGCCACGACCACGACCACGGCCGCGCGACCTGCTGCACCACCCCGGAGCGGAGAGGAGCGGCGAGACGCGGTTCCGCGTTTCGTGCGGTTCCGGTCACGTCGGTCACGTGGTCGCCGATCTCTCCTGCCCCCCCACCTCCGCCACCGACGGATCCCCTAGGTGAGCTTTCCCACCGGGAACGGGGGAGGGAGTGTCAACGGCAGGTCGACGGGTGGGGGCGGGATCGTGACGAGGAGAGGCGGGAAGAGTGAGACGGAAACAACGAGGAGTCAAGCGAACCACCGGCGAAAGAGGAACGAGGAAGGAAAAGAGGAGGCGGAGGCGGACGTATGACGACGAGGAGGATATCGAGGCTCGACGGTCACGACCACGTGGGGTAAGTGGACGGGAACGCGTTTTCGTAGATCTTTTTCTTTCGCGACGTCGCCAGGTGGTGGTGGTGTGGTGCCGATCGTGCAACCTTCGTGGACCGATCCTGAAGTGGATCGCCGATGATTCGATGCATTTAACCCCTTGACTTATGATTTATTTCACTGACACATTTTGTGTCGCGATGTATTGAAGTAGACGTTTCTCTAGAATTTATTGGATTTACATGCAGGACAATCGATAAAGTAGTCCGCTCTAATTATTTTTATAATTTACATTAACAGTTTCCTTAACTGAAACTGTTTCGCATTTGTCAGACTTTTTAGGGTTACGATTTCACAGTGAACGTGTTAGAGCGTTAGAGCGTAGCGTCGATATCTAATCAATCCGGCCCGAAATTGCCATCACGAGTCTGGCTACAGATTGCAACGGTTCGATGCAGTTTGTCACTGACATGTTTGTAATAATCGATGACGGCCCCTGCAAATAGAAACGAGGAGGTGTTCCTCGACGAACGACCAAGGCGTCCCATCGCGGTATAAATCCTGCTGGCAAGCAATGAAATCCGGCCGCGAAATAAGAGCCGAAAAGAGCGACGATTCCCTCGAATCGAGACGAGAGAAAACAAACGAGGGACCATAGATTATGGGCGGGAGCGGGCAATATGCGAGCCAACGGAAGGCCGTTGCCGGGCCTCGAATCATCGGTTGGCAGCGTCTGCGGACGGGTCCTCGGGCGGACTTAAATCGTGCGGTTGGCACGCGGGCTAATTGGTCGTATCTCGCGTTAGCCGGCGTGCTTTATCGCGTCATCCGTAGCCGGCTGAAAAGAATTCGCGCTCGCCCGTTCCAACGGGCCGTTTAATGGCCGCTCGCGGCCTCCGCCGATTTTTCATCGGGCCAGCCCGCCACGTGGCGTCGGAACCACGTGCTCCATCTGCTTCTCCTTTCCTCGCCTAAATTCCTCCGATAAACTCCGCCGTTCGAGCTCGTCTCCGACAAATTCTGGTCCGTCCGGCCGGGGGTGACGGCGCGGTTTTTAATTAACCGGAAAAAAAACGCGGCGGTCGATCGGTCGGGTCGCACGTGCGCCGGCTGGAAATCGATTTTAACGCGAAACCAATCGGACGACACCCAGGGCGAGAGAAGAGGATGGGGGGTATAACTTTATCCTCGCTTAATCGCCTTTTCGATAGGTACGAGCCGATCCCTTTGTTCAGACAATACCTCCACCCTGTCCTCGCTAATGTATGCAGCGTGCCGGCCCCTTCCTTCCACCCCCTCTGACCCTCCCGGCCCCCTCTGGCCACCTCAGTCTCACCCTACCGGTCCCTCGTTTCTCGCGCGATGACTCCGGGGCTCCTAGGTCTCTACCCGAAAGCCACCAAGAGAGAACGAAGGGAGAGACGGAGACCTTGTCTCGTACTCGTTCGCCTTTATTGAATTTTGGGACCGTTCCAGTTGGAACCGAGAGAGCCACCGAGAGAACGGGAGAGAGAAAGAGAGGATGGGAGAGAGCCTGGGGGACACGCCGCGGACTCGCACGGAGAAGGGACGAGGAGAGGCGGCGGTCTACGGCGGGTGGAGTGCTAGCCCGGAATTAATTCTCATCCCGGTGCATGGCTTTTTACGATATAACTGCGGTTTGTTAGTCGTTATTCACGACCCGAATTCAATTCCCCGGCAGCCCCCGGCTAGAAATGCGCGCGCGGCTGTCTTTCTTTCGCGGGGGTCGCCGGCGACACGCGTCGCGGGTCAAGACTTTGTTCACCATCGAAGAATTGCCTTACAGACATAACCATGCTGCTGCTGCTGCTGTTGTCTTATCTGTAGGCTGAGATTTTGTCAGTGAAATCTGAGGAGCTTGACATTGCTAGGGAAATTGGTACAGTTCAACTGAACACATAGATGACTTAAAACTTTTGGATTTCTAAAATTCTCCTTCGATATCATCCTTTGTCAGCTTCTATTAAAACTACGAGAAGATCCACGTGCCACTTGATAGTATGCTACTGAAAAATCGACCTAGATCAATGATTTGTCTCTATACAGTCGAAGTAACACAACGTCCAAGCAAAAAAATATTCAACAGCGAATCAGGCTAGATCAAATAACGGATGAACGACAAAATAAAGATCGATGAACGCAGACTTGTCTCTTCTCAGTCAAAGCTGCACAGAATCCAAAGAAGGGTGTGTTCGAGATCGGGCCAGATTCGACGAAGTAACGACTGAACGACAAACCGAATCGATGAAGGGTTGAGCCGGAGGCGAAATCACTGTGTCATCGAACAAAGAGAAAGCCTAGCAAGTAATTGCGAACCGGCAACCTGTTCAATCCCCGCGAATTGAATGTCGAATGGTTTATCCGACACAACTCGCGGCCTGCATCTAGGATCGCATTATCTCTCCCGCGGGGAGATTAGGGCAGGCGTGGCCGTGTTACACAATGCCGCAAACTCGACTGGAGAAACGAAGGGTGGTGCGTCGGTCGGCGAAGGAGCCGGAAAGACGCGAGAAAGAAAGAAGGAAGATCGTGGAAAGAAAGGAGACGGAGGAGGCCCGAGGACAGCCGGGTTGACAGGACACAATATTGCAATAACTTCAATTACGGCGACACGACGGATCGCCGTGGGGTGGGCCGATCCCCTCGACCCGCCGCGACCCTCCCCGACCCGCCGCTCGCTCGTTCCCGTTCCGTCCATTTGTATAGGAGAGTGACACAGACGTCGCGGTCGAATTGGCTGTCGGATCCGAAATGGGGCTACCTTTAAACAAGTGCTTCTTAATAAACCATTGACGCGCGAAACCACCCTCGAAAATTTGCCCCTTGGCGGTCTCGCTCGGCCGGCATTCGCCACCCTCCGCTACCCTCCGCCGCGCTCTTCCACCCCCTCTTTCCTGCGGCTCCTCGTCGCCAGGGGACGCCCAGTCTCCGTTACTTCGTTAAACTCGAAAAGCCAGCCGGTTCTTCCGTCGAGTGCGGCCGCGAACGTAACGAAGCGTTATTCCGTTTTTATTTTCGGCCGAAATTTTGGACAAGAGCCAGACGCGAATAAACTTCGCGCCTCGTTCGCCACCGCGCCCGCATCCCCCCGCCCGGCGAACAGTAAAATACGCTGGCCGTCAGACGATCCACCATTAATACCGGAAGATTATTCGTCGCTGGATCGCTTTGTTCGAGCTCCTCAGTCTCTAACCTCCCGGCTCCCCTCTTCGCCGCGGCGCTCGAGCTGCTTCAACTTTAATAGATCACCGGGGGATGAAGAAATTCCCAGCTCATCGCGAGTCTACGTCTACACCGAAGGCTTCTCCATATTGATTACAGGAAAATGCCATTTCGTTTTGGCTCGATGAAGTGAATAATGCTCGCGCTTGTTACCGGACGATCTTTGTGCATTCATGGGAAATTCTACCCGATGAAATTCCGAAAAATTGTTACAGAGCTGAACATCGGTTTAATCATTCTCCGGGACGCGAACCGTGGCCTGGTTCCATTGATTGGTCCGCAGATATATTAATTCGTTGAACTACCCGCTGGACCGTCCAATTTTGTGAAATTGTAAAAATTCTCACATCCTTATTTTGGATAAGGTGCGGTGCATTGCATTGGAGCAATTTTCATTGGGTCGACTATTTATTAGTCATGCATTGTTCTATAACTGATGATATTTTTCTGATAGCTTTGAAATCTTATGCTGGCAGAAGTTCTGTTCTTTGTTGGTAAAATAATAAACCAAGTGCTTCTGTGCCACCCTTAACAACTTACAAAACGACATTTTTTAAAAAAACGAAATTACTTTCCGAACAACCCGTCACATTATCAACGCTTCCATTTAATGAATCACTAAAATTTTCGGAACTGTAAAAATAGCTAGATTCCTTTTCAATGCATAAAATAAAAAGTCATACAGAAATATTCTAAGTCGGAAGAAACGTCTCGGTTTCGCAGTTAAAAATCGGGTTTAATACTTGCAGTACCGACCTCTGAATTTTGAGGATCTTCTGGGATTTAGAAACGGATCCGCGGGTTTAAAACACTCCGGACACAATGGCGACGGAAATTTCAAAATTTGAAAGGCGACGATGACTTATCGACCGTGCGACGCGTCGTCCGAAGCGTGGAAAAATCGTGCGGAGCCTTTTGCCCCGCGGGCTAAGGGTATTTCGGTGGGGTGGGCACGCACCCCTCTTCGCTCTCGCCCGACCCACTCGAAATTTCGCTCGGCCAGCGCTTTTTTCAACATTTATTTGACAGCTGTCGTCCGCAGTGCGTGCGCGTTTACCTATCGCGCTCGCCTCCCCTCGCGCTGGAACAGGGGTGGTTTCTCGAGACAAATATCGGCCGCCTTCGACTCCAAAGATTTACGGCCCTGCTCCCGGTAATTGCTTCGCGTCTTCCGCGGCGAGGTCGCGTGACCCGCGGTTATCCTTTCCGCGGCAATCGGAAACGAAAACGGATCGGCGTAAATCCCTCGCTGCGGAAAACGAGTCTTTCTTCTTTCCATTCTTACGTCCGCGGGAAAGAGAATACTTCCTCTTTTAAATCCTGTGCGAACACAATCTAAGAAGTTTCAGATGCATGCCGTTTAATTCTTCTTTAAACGAAATTCCAGAAAGCAATATTTTTTTTAACGCTCTGTCGTACCTGATGCTCCGATGCGCTCATGCAGAGCACTGAGCATTGTTGCACGTAGATCATTTTATGTAAAAATTTATTAAGAATCGTATAAAAAAGTAATTTTAACGACAACCCTTGTAGTTTGTTCTTTATGATTCTTTTTCTTTGACTAAAATTTTAAGGCGTAAAATTTTACTCGGTCTCGGTAAATCTAAATGTTCATTTACAAAAATGCGGTCATCGTTTCCTAGCAGTGGTCCTTTAAATGGAAGCAGCAAAGGGTTAAGAATTTGATGGAAGCGTATTATTCACTCAGTTGGATTTAAAGTTTGCCAAAACTTGTCAATTTTTTAAAAGATCTGATGAGAAATATCAAATCTACGTCTAA